GTCTGCATGATATTGTATAGATATTGTAAAGAGAAATTCTATCTTGGTCACTCACAGGAGTTAAAGCTGACTACTGCTTCAGGCCACAAATTTCATTTCTTTGATGGTGTTATAACAATGTTTATGTAATGATATGGAGACAATTGTCTGTTTTTGCAATCTGTGCAGAATGATACTTTGTTTGTATGTGTTTATGTAATATTTGTGTGTTGTGTGTTTATTTGTGATGGAATATGTGGAGTGACATACCCACCTTACAATTTATATATACCGGTAATATGAATATGTACTGGTAAATATATCTAAATGCATGCTGGCACTCAGTTTTGTTAACCCCTTAATTCCCAAGATCTGAATGTCAATTCTCCCCTCTTGCTGCAACATGTTTCTCTGTAAATTTGTTATGAGAATTTGGTGTTATATCTGGGTAAAAATTCTACCTGAGCACCTATTAGGGACAAGGCTTTATTATTTTTTTTTTTTTGAGAAATAGTGGAATGTATGCAAGAAACCGTTGATGTTTATCTAGAAAGGAACAATAGCAGAAATTGTAAATTGAAGTAAAAATTAAAATTTGTGTAATAATGGTAGATTATTTGTTCTAGCGGGGATATCACTGAAACAGAAAAGGGGCACTTATTGTATTAAGGTTGCCAATATGTGTCAGGGGTGCTTATTAGAACAGTGCTTATAAACAAAAGCAAATTCAATAGGTGTTTATTAGGGAGGGGCTGCTTATTGGAACAAGGGGGCTAAATCAAATCATTATGGTGGTATAAAATCTATGTAAACTGCATGTTGTATCATATGTAATATGATAAGGGTTAAGTAAAGTTTATTGTTGTTGTTTTTGTTTATTTGTAGGTTTTAAAGTGGCTTGGGGGAAAACAGGAATTGCTAAAGGAAGCAACTTTGCAGGTACTAATAGACAAACAAGATTTTAATATACTATTATAATAATTGCTAATAGTAATTGTGAAATCATTGAAAAATCTATCAAAATGAATGTCTATATTTTAAATTGGTGTGTAGAGATGACAGTTATTTAGATCACAGCCTATAAGCGCAAGACTCCAACAACTTGATCCACATGTATATCACCAGATCTAACTGAGTACATCAGTATGTATGTTCTCCTTATTGTTCTCTATAAATTTTCTTGAGGTGGTTACAGGGAGAAATTGTTTAACAATCAAAGGCTTCCTTTGTTTCATTTCATTTCTGTTATTCTCATGACCATAACGTGTGATTCATGGGTGATATTGTATGGAGAAATTAGATGCTAGTCACTCTTAGGAGTCAAAGGGTTAATTGTGTGAGGTTACCAAAAGGTTAAACAAAGATCCCTGAATCTGGAGGTCTCCTAACCACACATAAATCCAGTTCAGCTAGAGCTGATTTTATTCTGCACTTGCCTAATAATTGCAGCTCTTGCCATTGATGAGATTTTGAAATTCATTATTCCCAAACCTTATTGACATCAGTGTATTGGCTACTTATTTTTCAGCCAATTACATCAGTGGAAAACCTATATACTCAAGAATCCACTGTGTTTAATCCTCTTCGTGCAAAACGGCCTGGTGCGGGAGGAGGGGCTACTGAGGAAACCAAGAAATAGTAAGTAAATCTAAGGGTGTGTGCATGGGAGTTGGTATGTTGTTGGGGCACATTAAGTTTGTGTCCATGCTTGTGTATTCAGGATGAAGACAGAGTATATTCTTGATGAATCTACTTTTTGTTTGGTTTACATTTGATGCTTTTCATGATTATTTTGAAAAACATAGTTGGTTATCAACTAGAAGACAATGAAGATAGCCTGTGAGCAGGCTTTAACTGCCATGATCTGATAGTTAATTCTTGCTTCCAGCTGCTACACATTCTCTTGTGATGTAGTTATGAAAATTTTATTTTAGATCAAGATAACAACTTCTACCAGATAGAGTATTTGAGTATTCTCATTACCTGTTTGCTGAATAATGTATGGGTGTTACAGGGAGAAGCTACATGTTCATCACTTCTGGCAGTCAAAGGTTTAAGGGTTTTGCATGAAGCTTGTGACACATGCATGCAGCAGGACTAATAGGAACCTTGTAGCTTACAATGAGGCTCCAAGTTGCCTTTTTCAAAGAGTCACCTTTTGGTCAAAAATAAGAAAAAAAAAAGAAAAATCCATGGGAGGATACTTCATGTTGCATCACTGGCATTTGTACATTTGTTCATTTGACTAAACATCACTAGATTTTTCTAATTTTTCTTTTTAAATCTGTTGGTTGCCACTTGGCGACTTTCGTCGAAATTTTAGTCACCAAATATATTTTTAACTCGCTATGGCAACCAAAAGGGTCGCAACTGGGAGCGCTGCACAGTGATGGGTTGATAAACCATCTTTTGGTGAATTTAACAAGGTCTTATCTTGCGAATGAGACCTAAGTTTTTGCTTTTTAATTTTTTTAATGATGATTTATTTCCCTTTTTTAACTTCTGTATCATTCTTGATGTGTAATTAGGTGTTTAAAATTTTTGCCAGTGCAGCACAGAAATTTCTTTTGATAAAAGTAATGTTACCTTGCTTATATGAAGGATCTTTAGCTGATATATGTACATCTTTATTTCACATAGAAAATTACGTGCATGATAAATGATTGAAGTTCATTACATTTTACAATCTTTTCAGTCTTGCAGAGTTGATTCAGTCTAGTGCTAAAGAATGTGACTTCTGTACTTATAAAGTGTAAGAACTTTTGTCACTTATAGAAATTATAAATTAAAAATTTATTTTTTCATCATTTGAAGTGTATAAGGGGTTATTATTATTGCAGATTTTGCCACCTGCCTTTTGATTATTCAGGGGGTGGTTTTTTATCACAATTGAAACAAATTGTCAAACACCTGTGAAAAAATACTTCCTATTACAGGTTATTCATTTGATCTCAGATAAAGAAGGGGTAGATTTTTATTATTACTGACTATTCATGTAATCCCAGAGGTGTAATTCAAGCACAGAAATGATTCTTGCAGGTGGACTGCTATTTTAGTTATTGATGAGATTCAAACCTGTATCTCCCAGATACTAGTTGGATGCTATTAGTATCTTGGAGGCTCGGTTGTCGAATCACATGGAACCCTAAATTTTTTAAGGCGTCTTTTGCAAGAATTACAATCCTCTTGCGGGGATCATTTCATTACTTTGCATGTTTGTCATTCCCAAGTTACAAAAGAAAAAAACGGAATTATTTCATTACAAGTAAGAGGTTTAATGAGATGTTATCATATTACTCGTGACTCCAGATCCAATTATATGACTCATTGTTTGTTTCTTTCTTTGAATGTTTTTCCAGAAATACTGCAAAGGATCCTTTTGAAAGTGTTGAGTCCAA